TTCATTTCTCCTCCTTTGCCCTGTGGGACAGTAAATGGTGGTGACAGCCAACTCTAAGACCTGTGTGTTACACCTCCATAAGAATTCTCATCATCCATTTCTCTAAAACTTCACTGCTACTGACCAAGGTTAGGTCACCGTCATCTGCCACAGAGGAGGACAAATGATTTAATGAACAGAGAATATTTCACACACACACATACACACACACACACACATATATATACAAGTATACACTGCTATTGCTAAAGCTAAGGATATACAGCAGAAGGAAGAAGGGTCATAAAAGATGAGGGAGCTGGTGTTCAGGGTATAATAATCCTTGGCAGATGAATGTCTAGGTCTGGAAGAAAACTGTTGTACTTAATGAGACATGAAAAAAATGAGGCAATATAAGGATAAGTTGAAAGAACCTACAACATAGGGCCAGAAGCAAAAGAATCAGGCAGAGAAAGAAACAGCTCCTCGTGGCCAAGGCGATGGCTGCTCTGAAGCAGTGTTCGTGCTCATCTCTGGGCCTTCCTAGAGCAGGGTCCGTAAGTCAGTTAACTAGCCCAGATTGGTCATCTGAGACCAATTTTCAGGTCAGCCACTTACCAGCAATGACATTCCGTAAGCCACTTCACCTCTCTACCATTCAGTTTCTCCTGCAGTAAAAAGGGGAAATAATGCTTTCCTCACAGATCAAATGAGCTGTTTGAGAAACCGTCTGAACTCCCTGGCACTGCTATAAGCTATTATTAGGTCTTAGATTTTGAGGTCCACAGAAACAGGTGGGAAAAAGTCATAGTTCCAGTCCCTAAAGAGTTCGCAATCTTCCCAGAGAATGACAGCTGCCACATGCAAACTTCAGGGGAAAACCCAATGTTAATAAATGCTTAGAAAATACTAGTAGCAAAGGAAATATTAGACTAATTCAGAGAAAGGCGTATTTCCCTCTCTTGGCTCTCACTATGATCCATCCTTCACACTCCTGTCAAATTAATCTTCTCGTGAAGTAAAGATCCAATCATAGAATCATATAATTTTACAACTGAAAGGGGCCTTAGAGGTCACCTACTCCATTTTCCTCATTCCTTGGGTGAAAAAAAACTGAAGCCAAAGAGATTGAGTGGCTTGCCTGTGATTACACAGCTAGTTAATTCACTCAATACTCCATAAATTGTTATCGATCACCTAATAGGTGTCAGGCCTATGCTAGGAGCCACTAATGGCACAAATGACACCCACACCTGGGACTCAGGAATTCTAGACCTCTGCACTTTATTCTAGATTGGTGGTTCTCAAGCTGTAGCCAGGGTGAGAGGAGGCTTGATCCCTAGAAGGAAAGCAACCCAATTATATCCCTGCAGCCATTTAAGAATTAATACATGCAATGAGAGAGGTTACAGATGGGAAGGTGTTCCATATGATTGATGGGGTGGCAGAAATTAAAACGTTTGTATTCAGCACTGAAGTAAATGACAGAATGGCAGAATGGTACTATTTTAAAAAATCTGGATGGTAGGTACATGTGTATTCATTTTATTACTCTTTGCACTTTCCTGTGGGTTGAAATGTTTTTCATAATTTTTTAAAGTATTATATGCTAGAGAAAAAAAAGAATCAACCACATCTGTTCAGATAGGAGGATGGGGAAGGTGGGGAGGAGGGAACAGCTGTGCTCTCTACCTGTGACTCTGAAGGTTGAGAGCCACTGCTGTAACTATCAGCATTGTGCCCCAAAGCCCTGCCTGAAATCAAAGCCCCCCTAGATGTATCGATCTCCATCTACCATGTGCCATATGCTCCAGGGGGGTGAGAATCATAACTGAATCCCCTATCTGCCCCTCCCCCCTCAACCCTTGCCCATGCATGTGACTTGCTGCAAAAGTCTCTTGGGTCAATGAATCTTCTAAAAAGTGCAAATTCCTTTCAGCATTGTACATCCACACACCCAGAAATATGCACTTGGCCTGGAAAATGTAAGTTGGTAGAATCCAGAATTCTAGTCTACATAAAGCCACGCAGCATCACATAGTCCAAGATCACTGTCAAAAAGATCAGAAAGTCACATTGTTCTCTTTAACAAAAAAAATGAGAAGTGACTGTCACACACATATGTACACACACACACGCGCGTACAGTTCTCCACAAAGAAGGTATACTGACATATCTTAAAGAATTTGGCCTCACACACTGGTTGTCTGCAACTAGAAAGAACCTCGGGCTTGTGGCTCTGATGATTCCACCAGTTGTCTATGTAGCAGCCTGAAGAACCCCTTAAGATCTGCAGCCTGCAGGGAGCGAACAGTCTGGCTGCATACGATTTGACACAGCTGACAGCTAGCTACCTTAGAGGTGTACGTGCAGAGCCTTGCATACAGACATCTCTGATGCTCAGTACAGTGCTGACACTTATGAATAAGTCACTTGCAAAAATATAGAAATAATAGCCTTTCCTAGCTACAAAAAATGCTTTTCATCTGGAATTGATCCAAACTAAGTTAAAGCGTTTTTCTTTGACAAAAGCCACTGCAAAATCTCCATGCCTGCTAGGTGAAGGGCACGGCCGTTTCCTCTCCTCCACCCTCCCCACTCTCCAACCTAAACATAGTTGATTCTGTTTTTCTTTAGTACATAATACTTTCAAAAATTATGAAAAACTTTTCAACATAAAGTAAAAATATTAATTAAAGGAATAAACATGTACCTGCTATCCAGAATTTTTAAAATGTAATATTTTATATTAATATTTACTTCAGAGCTGAATACAAAAAATTTTAATAATGTTTCACCTACACAGCACAAAATCAATTGTGTGATATCCCAGCTGTGTCACTGGGCAGATTATTGTCTAAGGGCTCTGCTTCCTGTCAAGGTTATGGAACTATATTGTCACACGTAGCGAGCAGTCCTTTTCAGCATTTCGAATGTCCAGTGAATGTATCTACTGAACTTATTTTTATCTATGGGGTAAAAGGGAAATAGAGTGATCACATGAAAACCAGATTCACGTGTATGGCTGACAGGAGAAGAAACATGACAGTCTGGTTAAAGTGCACACTTTTTTGTAGCAGGAAAAAAATATTAAGCATGCTTATTAGGTAGAGGTCTTTGTATATGACTATTTTCTGAAATCAACTGAGATCAGAATAGGACTAACCTTCATTAACATTATTTGTGCCTGAAACTTCAGTTTATTGCATTTTACTGCAGAGAACTGATAGACTCAATGTGTCCATGATGAATTTCTCTCTTCAACGCAGGAGGTTCCCAAGCCAACATACTGTCCTATCTAATAGAAACGTAAGGGCACCTCTAAGACATAGATTTAGTATATAACCATTTGGGATCTAGACATCATGTCATGTCATGGTGGATGTGTTCATACAGACTGATGTGTATGGGGAGGTGAGTGGAGCTGCATACATCTGCAACATTCCAGAATGAGTAAATTTCTAAGATGAGATAGAAGTTTATTTTTTTAAGGCACAAACCATCACAAACTGTAATTATTAGGGACAATTATCATCTTCTTTGCCAACTATTTATTAGGTTTATTTGATTCTTGCAAAAACGATGTTCAATCATTTCAAAATTAAACCAAATATATACTGAACATTTAGTTATTGAAAATAACAAATTAATTAGAGAGAACACAGAAACAGCTATAACCACATACTTGTGATGTCAGTTACTCCAACTGAACACTGGATTTAGCTTCATTTGCTTGCAGCTAAGGCAGAAAAGGGAAACCATTGCATAGTTCAGTTCTTACTTTATCAAAAAAGAAACATGCGAGGCAGATTTTGTTTTCCTTGACATTAATTTCAAGGAGAAATTTTTTATGGAAGCCCCTTCATAAGGGACACTGAGTAATGCCTTCAATTCTATGTTGTAAAAGACAGAAACTTTTTTCATATAAATGTCTTCAACAATATGGTGCGAAAGACGGACATTTTTTCTCCCAGGTGCTGAAGGCAGAATATTAAATCTTAACCTGAGTGACGGCATTTCTGCTGGGAGCTGAAATAACACAGCCACTGTGCATTGTTTCCTGATGATTTACCTCAATGGACGGAGCTCAAAGAATCTGGAGAAATGGATGGCCTATACACACTTCTTCCTGAAGCCCCCGAAGTATTCTGTCAAGTGCTACAAAGGGCGATTTCGTGGCTGCATTCTCCAAAGAGTATTTGAAGGGATCTGAAAATCTATGTATTGATTAAACATAGATCTTTCACTTTAGCTACTACACCATCTGTGGGAGCAGAGGTAACACTCTGCCATGAACATGTAGGAGACTGACTTATGCCCTCCCCTGGGGAGCCAGCGACTAATGAGTCAGTGAGGTGGGTTGCAGGGTGTAGAAACTTCCAAAGGAAGCTCTGTGTCTGGCCGAGAACTTGGACACATGCTCAGCTGAATCCCCAAACTTTGTTGTTTCAGAATAGAGATAATTTTTTGCTTAAAAGTTTTAAAGCATGTGTACTACTTATCAAGTGAATTAGCCATAAGAGAACTTTAGGATAGCCGCAACAATATAAAGTGAGCAGACAACAATAAATTCTTTAAACTTTAGTCAGGCAATCCCAGAAATAGAAAGCAGTGTGCCTTATTTTAATTTTCCTATTCCTGTAATTTTACTATTAATTTATATGTATAATTAAATCCAGGGAAAGCTATATTAAATATTAGCAAATTAAAAGGGAAAATGATCTATTTCAACTAGTTTTAAAATATCCACCCAACAAAGGAGAAAACTATAAAGGACTAATTAATAAGTGTTAATACCAATGTCCTCCAGGTTAGAAATGTAAGCAGAATCCTCCCTGGCTTTTCCACAGGTGGTACTGTGAGACCATTACATTTAGTGATGAATGAGATTGAGCTAGTAGTTCCCCTTTTGATTCATTTCAGATAAATGGCCCATAAGTAAATGTGCTTACAGTCCAATAGGGATGATCTTTGGGCAAAGCCACTATAAATTCTCAAGTTGGACCTTTCCGAAATTACTTCAGCAAATGGTTATTTACAAAATATACAGTTGCACAGAAAATAACCTTGTTACCTGGCATTTGCCAGGTTGCTGATGTACATCAGAAGGAAACATACGTATGTGAGAGCACATCAGGTCATACTCATCAGGAGGCTGGATTAGGACAGGACTTTTATTCAGAATAATGTCAAAACAAAATTTTTTTAAAAATCCAAAAATTCTGTCAAGGAAAAAAAAAATGCAACTGCTTGCTTTTGAGGCTTGGGGTTATGTGATTCTCCAACGACTGACATTCAAGGGATGAAAAGGCCCGACTCCTCTGGTCTGTCCCAGAGAAGAGCAGTGTGGCCGCCTGCCCATGGAGGACTTGGAAAGCTCCCAGGAGTGTAACAAATCCCAGAAGGGCAAAGCTATGAGAAGGAGTCTGATTTGCACGACAGGATTTAAAGAAAGGACAAATATCTGACACTGTTTCCAGATAAGTTTTTAAAAAATCTATTTTCGTGTTAATCTGCAGATACCCACAAGTGAGAGAAGGGGAATCTGAAACTCAGTATTGTGTGCTTCCCACAGATGCCCCTTCGCACACACTGCCGCTGATTGGCTGCACAACTCTTCCTATCACTACAAAGCAGTCCTGAAAGGCGGTTGCCGTGTGACGCCTTGTCCCTCTCATTTGTTATGGGCTGATATGTGCCCCCTCCCCCAACCCAGATGCATATGTTGAAGTCCTAACAGCCAGAACCTCAGGAGGTGACTGTACTGGGGATAGGGTCTTTAATGAGGAAATTAAGGCTTAATGAGGCCATTGGGGTGGGCCCTAATCCAATATGACTGGTGTCCTTAAAAGAAGAGATTAGGACACAGATGTGGCTACACAGAGGAAAGACCAGGTGAGGACAGCAAGGAGGTGGCCTTCTACAAGCCGCAGAGAGAGACTTCAGGAGAAACCAAACATGCTGACACCTTCGTCTTGGACTTCTAGGCTCCAGAACTGTGAACAAATAAATTCCTGTTGTTCAATCCACCCAGTCTGTGGTACTTTGCTAAGGCAGCCCAAGCAAGCTAATAAACCATTTGACTTTGACAAATCTTTAAAAGTCCACATTTGTCCCTTTGGTAAAAACTAAATTTGTTCTCAGCTTCTGGAGCACTAATTTATGACACTCAGTATTACAGTGCTTTGGGAAGAAACCATCCCTTCAACCATTCCAAATAAAGCAAATAAAATGATGTAAATCATTTGGCATAGATATC